GCCTCCGCCTCCCAAGTAGCTGGGACCACAGGCGCCCGCCACAACGCCCGGCTATTTTTTGGTTGCAGCTGTCATTGTTGTTTGGCGGGCCCAGGCTGAGGATTCAAACCTGCCACCTTAGATGTACGTGGCTGGCACCTTAGCCGGTTGAGCTATAGGCACCGAGCCAGCATTTCTTTTTCAAAAGGAAATTTCAGGTGATATTTTCTCCAGTTAGCAAAGGTCACTGATGAATAAGATGATAAATGCAAATCATTTGAAGAATACACAGCTATTACAGACCTATTATTGGAGAATACCATGAAAGGTTCACTGACTTTGCAAATTCTGACATTATACTCAAATTAGCATTTTGGTCTCAACTAGTTGATATCACCAAGGCACCTAAGAAATTACAGATGGAATTGACTGAGCTCTCAGCAGATGACACTTTAAGGTCATTGAGGGTAAGATCCAGTTGAAATATGGGAAAATGCAGTAGAATGCCCACATCTTTGACAACATGCCCCCAAAATGCTCACTTGCTTTTCAACCACTTACTGCTGCAAATCCTAACCCAAATCGAGACACTCCTAAGGTCACAAATGACTGAGACCCATCCATCCAGAGGATCGGCTGAAACTGCACACTCCAGGCTGCCCCCAAATGTTCAAATGCTTTCCAACAAAAGGCACAACCAAGTCATCAAAAGGTTTTCATTTTTGAAATTATCAAGTATATAGTAAGATTATTATAAAACTAAAAACTTAAACTTAAAATTACATTTTAAGTACAGTAGAAACTCTGCATTGACCACACAAGGGGCTGTACCAAGTGGTCAACATAAGGACCTAGGCCTACTGTCCTGACATGTCCATGCAGTTTGTTTTCTTGTATAGCCTTTATTAGAGAGTATCATGCAGAATCATAATCACAACACAGTACTATCATGTGTACAGTCTCCTACAAAATCAATGCATTTGCTCTTTCTCATGGTTTAATCATTATTTCTGGAAAAAGAGTCAATCTTGGTCTGCTCTTATTCTTATTACAACCGTAAGTGGAGAAAGC